TATATCTCCAGAGGTCAGGGAACCAGGATTGGGTCCTGTACCTTTTAAAGCCAAATTAGGTCTTTTTAAGAGGAGCATCCAGTTTGGGATCATTCCCAGGAGTGACTGGGACTCTAAGGTTTTGTGAAGTACCCTGGATGGGGGAATTTACTCTTCAAGATAGGTGGGGCCATACCTGTTGGGGTGTTGTCACTACACCTCTTCATTCACTCTACAGACATGTGTTGATCCACACATGCTGACTTGGGCACGTTTCTTTCCCAACAGCAAGTGGTCATGAACGGCATATTCCAGTTAGTGAGAGGTCAGAGAGGTGGTCATCTCACTGCATGCTGTCGTTTAAACTTCTGTATCTGTGCGTGCTCTGGGTGGGCTGGTTTTGAGAACAAAAGAAAGAAACCTGATGCCTGCATGTTAGAACATCCCAAGACCACACAGAGGTTGTTTAAGATCCTGATTCTTCGCTCTTCACTCGTTCTTTTTTTGGACTTCTTTTCAGAGAGGCTGGGCTGGTAAATATCAGGCTTCAGTTGGGCCTGGTTTGAATCCTGAATGAGGTTGCAGGAGCAGCTCTGTGAGCCTTTCAAGGCTTGGGTTTAAAGTTAGATAGGCAGGGGGCAGTGGAGTGTTGCATATATAGGTGGGTATTGTGGGTTTCTTGCCAGCGGTGTTCCTCAAAATCTTGAAAAGGAGGTTAAATGAGGTGGATTCTCTGGTATTCAGGACTGGAGCAACTGGCTTCCAGGAGGCTGATTTGGATGACAGATCAAGGCTTACACAGAGGCAAGTGAAGCCGGTTTTGTTGCCCTGCAAAGAAGTATTGACTCCAGTTTTTTATTTGTTTGTTTGTTTGTTTTGCGGTACGCGGGCCTCTCACTGTTGTGGCCTCATCCGTTGCGGAGCGCAGGCTCCGGACGCGCAGGCTCAGCGGCCATGGCTCACGGGCCCAGCCGCTCCACGGCATGTGGGATCTTCCCGGACCGGGTCTGGAACCCGTGTCCCCTGCATTGGCAGGCGGACTCTCAACCACTGTGCCACCAGGGAAATCTTGACTCCAGTTTTTATTTATTTATTTATTTTTGGCTTTGCCTCGCGGATTGTGGGATCTCAGTTCCCCAACCAGGGACTGAACTCATACCCTCGGCACTGAGAGTACAGAAGCCTAACCACTGGACTGCCCGGGAATTCCTGACTTCAGTTTTTACGTGTTTGTTTTAGTTCACTGAACAAGTACTCTTACTCGCTTTGTCCCCCTGAATCAGAAGCCATCGCCGCTAAGGCCTGGCCTGAGGGAGGAGGGCCAGGGGATGAAAGGATCGCAGATAGGCCAAGGGTGGTGGTCAGAGTTAGCCGCAGCCCAGTGAGCCCCTTTACGGGTCCCTTCTTGGGCCTGCCTCTCAAGTGAGGCAGCCTGCTGGAGCACAGGCCACAGCCATGCTCTTGAGTTTTAGCAGTGAAGACAGCAGATGGAGACCTCTCTGTGGGACGTTTGCTGAAGGCAGGAGCATTTGGGGGCGCACAGATGTCCTTGAGGGCTGTGATGGGCTGATGTTTTACACAGTGAATATCTTTTTTTTTAACGTTTCATTTTATTTTATTTATTTATTTTTGGCTGCGTTGGGTCTTCGTGGCTGTGCGTGGGCTTTCTCTAGTTGTGGTGAGCGGGAGCTACTCTTCATTGCAGTGCGCGGGCTTCTCATTGTGGTGGCTTCTCAGTGCGGAGCATGGGTTCTAGGTGCACGGGCTTCAGTAGTTGTGGCATGCGGGCTCAGTAGTTGTGGCTCAAGGGCTCTAGAGCGCAGGCTTAGTAGCTGTGGCGCACGGGCTTAGTTGCTCCGCGGCATGTGGGATCTTCCTGGACCAGGGCTTGAACCCATGTCCCCTGCATTGGCAGGCGGATTCTTAACCACTGTGCCACCAGGGAAGTCCTGTATGCCATTGACATCTGACTTTAGTTGTGTTTCACATATCTCTCCATCTCTATTCTTTTCGTCTTTCGGTCCACTTCATTTTATTGAAATATAATTAACATAATCTATTTTTATGATGCTTTTCAAAGTAGCAGAAAGTTGTAGTCTTTCCTCTAAATATTAACTAGAGTCCAGTATTTATTTATATTTTTTTTCTTTTGAAGTAAATGTACAGATCTTGAATATCCAGTTCAATGGATTTTGACCACTGCCTGTCCCCATCAGTATTACCAAGATGTAGACCATGACCATCACCCCAGAAGGTTTCTGGGACCCCTTCCCAGGTGTTTCCTGCCACCATCCCCCAGAGGCAACCGCTGATGAGTTTTGGCTGTTTTGCTGTGTTTGAGAACTTCATCTGGGTGGCAGCTTTTTTTTTCCGTTTTCTTTTTTGATAGTTGCCCCAAATGTAGCCACTGGAAGTCTTCACAGTTCAGCTCAATTGTCCTTTGGACAAGCCTGCAGTAATCTGTGCATGTTTCCTTGCTTTCTGACAGTGCAGCGTGACCCAGGCTCACCCACCATAGTTGTGCATCAGGTGCCGAATCAACCATTTCTTCCAGGAGCTCCTTTTAGAAGATTTTAGACAATATCAGTCCTACAAAACCCTGAATAAAAAGGTCTTAGTCACCTGGGATCTCAGTTTAAGCTCTGTTGTTTTGGAGTCTCTATATCTGATATCTGTGGTGGAGGAAGAATGTAAAATGAAGAGATGGTAGGTGTACAGTGATGCACCATGTTGGATTTGGAGGGAAGGCGAAGTTCCTCCTTTAGGGTACACTCGCTGGCCAGGTCCACAGGAATGGGGGACTCGCGTGCTGTGTTCATCACTGTCCCAGCATCTAGCTCAAGGCCTGGCACAGGGGAGGTGCATGCTGAATACTTTTGAATAAGTAAATACAGTTTTAAACATCATCCTTCATTATCAGATTGATGGAGTTTCAGTATAGATATGGCCAGGACTGGGGGCTGTTTAACATGGGCTCCTCACCAGTCAGCTGTGATTTCTGATGGCCTGCCTCTTGTCAGTTTAGAATTGGTTTTCTGAGCTTTGCTTTAAATTTTAGATTACCTGCCATGGTTGCATTTTTGTAAGAATTCTTGTTTACTACTCACTTTAAAAAAAACCCAAAAACTATTTTGGAAATTTTCAAACACGCACAAATGATCCCAGTATACCCATCCTCATCTTCAGCAGGTATCAGCATTTTCCAGTGTTGATTTATCCTTTTCCCTTCTCCACTCACCACCTCACTGGAGTATTTTAGAGCAAATACCAGGCATGTAGTTTAAGCCATTATTTATTTTAGCTGCATTGAGTCTTCGTTGCTGCGCGCGAGCTTTAGTTGCGGTGAGCAGGGGCTACTCTTCGTTGCGATGCGCGGGCTTCTCATCGCGGTGGCTTCTCGTTGCAGAGCACAGGCTCTAGGCGCGCAGGCTTCAGTAGTTGTGGCACACGGGCTTAGATGCTCCGCGGCATGTGGGATCTTCCCGGACCAGGGATCGAACCTGTGTCCCCTGCAATGGCAGATGGATTCTTAACTACTATGCCACCAGGGAAGCCCCAAAGACGTTCTTTTCAAACACAGCTGTAATATCATTCGTTCCTAACTGAATGAACAATTATTCCCTTAATACAGGATGTGCTTTTGCATGTGCTCCGCCCCTACAACAGCCAGTGATGTACATCTTGTCTGTAGCAGAAGTTGGTGCTGTTTTTGCGGGTCTGTGGGATTTATGCTCCATGCTTTCCATAGGTCAATTCATTTAATTTTCACAGTCCCCTTGAAGAGGTAGAGGAGTAGATTCATGTTGCAGGTTAGAAGGAAACTCCAACGAAACTTCAAGGCCACACATGTAGTAGCCCAGCTGGCAAAGTTTCAGGCCCACATCTTTGCAAAAGCTCCCACTTGGTGAGTACCAAGGGCCCAGGCTCAGCCAGGAGCTGAGCCCAGGGACTGGTCCTCCACTCCTCCCTTCCCTCCCTCCCATGTCAAGAAGCATTTGACGCCACCTGTCCTTTTGCCTGGCTCTGCAGGGGCATCGCCTGTCATTCCACCCTTAGATTTTCAAGTTCTACTTTGGAACCCTTCAAGTTTTCGATGAGATTGCTAAGTAGTCCGGAAGCATTGTGGGAAATTCTTGTTCTGGCTAGTCATGTCGGAGTTTATCCTTGAAGGGGGTGCGTTTCAGAGATGAACCTGCTGCCCTGGCTGGTAACTGGTGTGGATGGAAGGGGCTAGCTGTTATGTGGTTGGAGGGAATGGGTGGATTCATCTGTTACCTATTACGCTGATGGGGTTTTTTTGGTTGTTTACTCATTTGGAAGATTTCAGTGTGGACCAGACTGTTTGCATAGAGTGGGAATTGAGTAGGTTGTAGTCAGCATGTTATTTAGAGTCCAAAATTGTAATTATAGCTACGTTTGTCTTGAAGACTTCTGTTGTGTATTTCAGTTGTCTCAACCACTCCAGAATTGAACCCACAGGTGTGTGTCCATGTGCTGCAGTGGCCACATCCACCTGACGTTTCAGAAGGTTCTTGCCTCTCCAGTTTACAGAAGCCTTTTGAGCCCCTCTGTTTCCTGCTTTCCTTCCATCTCTTCATTACCCTCAAGGACCAGAGCTCTTTCCCTCTCTTTTTCTTCTCCAAATACCAAGATTTTGCTGAACATTTTCACCTGTACCATTTTCTGGAGGCTTGTTAAAAGGTTTATTTTTTATTTGTAAAAATTGGCATACTTATATAAAGATACAATGAAAAGGGATTTTTAAAAAAGTAAAAATCACCTGAGTGTGGGCCCGAAGTGAGACGCACCTTCTAGAAACCAGCTGTTTTCATTTTTATGGAATTTTATAATTAGCTGTTTGTACCGTGGCTTAGTGGTTACTTGGAAATAAAGATGTGTCCTGCTGTGTGGACGGACTTCCTTCCTGAGGCAGCGCCGTTTGCATCCTGCTGAATATCTGACTGCTAAGATTCATCCATTGATGAAATATGTGAAACTAAAAAGATTTTCTGATCTTATAGATAGTTGAAGTATTGATAACACCAAGGAAATCTGTCACAATTTGAAAAGATAAGGAAAAATTTGATTTCCAGACACTACAGGAAAAGAAGTAAAAATGGTAAGAAAGTTTTTTTCTTAATCATAGATACGGTTTCTTCATTCATGTACAAAAATGTCTGTAGTGTTGCCCCAAAGCATTTGATTCTTTTTTCTAAATTGAAGTAGTTGACTTACAATATCATATTAGTTTCAGGTGTACAACAGTAATTTGAGAACTTACTGTAGATTATATTCCATATAAAGTTTTTATAAAATATTGGCTACCTTCCCAATCCTGTTCATTGTGTCCTTGTAACTTGCTTATTTTATACTTAATAGTTTGTTCCTCTTAATCCCCTTCACTGTCTTGCGTCCCCAAAGCATTTGATTCTGTAATCATTTTTCACTGGACTTTTTTCAAGTACATAGTGTAACAATTCTAGTAATATAGAAACGTGTAAAGTAAATGCCCCCTTCCTCCCACCACCTAGAGAAAGCACAGCTGTTATGTTTGGTTGTCCTGCTCAGGCTTTCAGATATGTTCATATAGTTTTATTTTCATATGAATAATTCTCAGTTGTACAGCTTAAAAGATAAGTGTCAAGTTGCATTGTTTTTGACTAATTTTTCACATTTCCAGCGTCCAGTGAGAATTTTTGTGAATGATGATCGCCATGTGATGGCAAAGCATTCTTCCGTTTATCCGACACAAGAGGAGCTGGAGGCAGTCCAGAACATGGTGTCTCACACGGAGCGGGCTCTCAAGGCTGTGTCCGACTGGATTGATGAGCAGGAGAAAGGTAGCGGCGATCACGCCGAGTCTGAGAATGTGGATGTGCCCCCAGAGGACGAGACCAAAGAAGGGGCCGGGTAAGTTGGTTTTGTAGGGTGGTTGTTTTTTGTTTGTCTGTGTGTTTGTTTTGTTTTTTCCTTTCTCCTTTCTAGGGAGACTGGCCAGGCTAGGGTTGAGCACCTCCTTTTCTAAGAAACTCCAGCCTTTCCAGGATCCCTGGGTTCTGGCCAGACGGAATCTCTCACTGAGCATGTGTTGGGCTGTCCCTCAGGGAGCAGAAGGCAGAGCATGTGACTAGAACCCTGAGGGGCGTGATGCGTGTTGGCCTCGTGGCAAAGGGCCTGCTGCTCAAGGGTGACCTGGACCTGGAGCTGGTGCTGCTGTGTAAGGAGAAGCCCACGACCGCCCTCCTGGACAAGGTGGCTGACAACCTGGCCATCCAGCTCGCTGTGAGTGTGGCCACCACCACTGGGGTTGGAGGGTGGCCAGGGGAAGAGGTGCGCCAAGAGGCACACTCCAAGCCCAGCCTTGCACCTGCTGCGCTCACACCTTCTGTAGGTGACAGGCAGGACGCTGCAGAGCCACCCAGATGCTCTGGCAGCCAAGAAGGGCCCAGTGCCTGCCATGCACAAGGCTGCACTGTTTTTGGGCCGCACTGGGCATGACCTTCACATCCAGACTCCAGTGATGGATGGGCGGGTGAGTGGATGAATAGGTAGCACAGTTGTTGACTCTTCCTCCCTGACGCAAAGCTGGACATAAAAAAATTTTTTTAACCGATTTATTTGTCTCATTACAAAAGTATTACATAAATAATAGCCTCTGGCATTTCTTGAGCATTGACTACACCAGACTCTAGGCCAGAAGAGCTCTTTATCATTTCATCGTAATGACTGAGATCGGGCTTTATCATCTAAGTATTTTCGAAGATGTGACTGAGGTGTGGGGAGCTCAGTAACTGACCCCACATACCCAGCTGGTGAGGTCTGGGGCTTCAGAACCTCTTGAGTGTCACTGCCACTCAGTGCCTCTTTGGGACGCATTTACCCTGGATTTAGTGACAGGATAAGCAAAAGAAGAAAGTAAAGACTCTCTTAGACACACTGTTTGTTTTCACGTGTGAAGGTATGTTCTGTCACGTGAGAAGGTACGTACTGTCACGTGTGACTGACAACTGGGGATTCAGGACAGAGGTCAGAATTGAAATGATCCGTTAATTTTAATCTTTGTCTATAAAAAGTATATTAAGTGAAGACAGTTTTTGAAGAGTCTTTAAAGATAGATACAAAGAAAGTATATTTTTATCAATTTAGCTTGGTGTTTTTTGACTGGGGCAGATTTTGCACCCCAGGGGACATGTGGCGAGTCTAGAGTAGTTTTAGTTGTCACAGCAGGAGGAGTTGGGTGCTACTGGCATCTCCTAGGTATAGAGGCTGGAGATGTTGCTCAAGGTCCTCCAGTGCACAGGACAGCCCTACAACCAAGAGTGATGTGGCCCAGAGCGTCCGTAGTGCTGAGGTGGAGAAAAGTCAACTTAGATTTTCCATAGTGCCTTTGTCCTCCCCATAATGTATTTACTTTGTTTTTCTTGACAAAAATCAAAAACGCTGGAGTTTTCTTGATCAAGGCATATAAACTGGTATAAAGAAGAAAGCAGAAGTCACAATTGTGAACGTCCTCTTATAGACACGTGCGTTTGCAGCAAGTATGTGCTTTTATAGGCATCGTATGATGAGACTATTTTACTGCACACAGTTTCCATCATCCCGCATTCTGTGGTAGCTGCTCAGCCTGTTGTGGAAATAGCGGTGGCTGGATGCCGACTCTGTGCTGGGTGCTGTGCTTTCCACGGAGTGTCCGGTTCAAGTCCTCTGCAGCCTTGTGCTGTCGGCCGTGTCACTAAGTCCATTTTACAAATTAGAAACCACAGTCTTGATGAGATGAAGTGATCTGTCCAGTTACACAACAACCAAGCAACAAAATGAGGATTCACACCCTCATCTCTTCCCAGACCCTAAACTCTCTTACCGTTACATTATAAAGCTTCCCGTGAAAATCACTCCTCTAAGTAGCCACCTCCTCCTTGGAGTACCTGGAAGATGGCCAAAGACCTGTCCAGCAAGAGGGAGGTTCTGACCCCTAGCTGAAGGCACTGCTGTCAGTCACAGTCCAAGAAACTGGCCTGTCTGCTGTAGTAACCAGGAGCTAAACAGAGCTGTCGATAGCCTTGGGGGGAAAGTGCGTTTGAAAGTTGCATTTTCTTTTGTAGGCTGTTACAGATGACAAGTACGAAATACTCCAATCTGTCGACGATGCCGCGATTGTGATAAAAAACACAAAAGAGCCTCCATTGTCCCTGACCATCCACCTGACATCCCCTGTTGTCAGAGAAGAAATGGAGAAAGTATTAGCTGGAGGTAGGGAGGCTGAGAAAGGCCAGCAGGACACTGGCAACTTGGTGTTCCCTCACGATTCAAACGTGCTATTCAGTTTTAGACTGCTTTGATAAAAGGATAGCGGTGTAGCTTTGACCACCTTTTACTCTGAGATCACATCTCCCACTCGGTTTCAGTCCTGGGAGTTTGACAAAACGGTTGCACTAAAAGTGAGTAGCACTTTTCCTAGAGGATTGCACCATTTTTGTTTGTCTTAATCCTTGGATGTTCTCATCGGTGTTAAATGTGATTTTTTTCTGTTGAGCCAGTCTCTGGCCTTGGAAAAGCGTGTCCCTGGTGATTATAGGCTTTTTAAATTATGGAAGACAACCAGATGGTTTCTGCATGAGCATCACGTTGGACTTGTGCAAACAGCTTGTGTTGCAGCAGAACCGAGGTCTTCTTCGTTTGTCCTCTTCCATTGGCTGCTTTTATCAGTTGCAGTGATTGAAACGCAAAGAGCTGATGCAGAGTTTTGGATAAAGTTTTAAACAATTGAGTGATTTTCAAATCAAGTCTTTGAACCTCAGACAGTGATAATGCTTTCACGATTCAAAGTCCACCCAGGGCTCCTCATACATCTCTGGGTGGACGTTTTTCAGTCACAACTCTCACACCTCAAAGTAAAGGTGACAGGCCTTATCCAAACCCCTGATGCACAGATGGCAGAAACGACAAATGCTCCGGTTTTGCTGCAGCACAGGCTAACGCCGTGCCCTTGTTGCTGTTCTTTGATTACCTTTGGTTCCGATACCTGATTTACTACCAGAGCCCTTCTAGTTTATCAATTTAGGGACGCTGGACCTTTGACCAACAGGACTCTCTCTGTCAAGGGCTGGGGCTAGGGCAGTCCCGCCTGGTGGGCGGAGGTGGTCCCCTTTGCCGTAGACGCCTCAGGGGAAGGCCTGTGGGAAGCAGAGAGGGAGTGCATTTCTACTCCCCCCCCCACCTATTTTTTTTTTTTTTTGGTTTTTGGTTTTTGGTTTTGTTTTTCGTTTTTTGCTAATGAATTTTTTAGCATAGCTAATTTATTGGGAGATCCTGGGGAGGAAGCAAGGTAATAGTCTCTACTAGAAGATAGGATCCACCTATCTGTCCCCCTCCCCCATGGGATTATTCCTTTTAGAGTAACTTCCCACTTTTGTTTTTGTTTTTCTTATTGTTGTTTTTTTGGTTTTTTGTTTTTTTGTTTTTTTGGAGGGGGCCTCTGATTTTTACCATCTCCTCTTGGGGCAGAGTTAAATGCACTTGAGCGTCTCCTTCCCTGGTCAAGGGTGGAGATGACTTGAGATTCTGGGAGCCTCAGCTGCCCCTTAGGAAGCTGCCACATCCCCTTTCCACCTGACAGAAACCCCTTGGTCAAACTGTACCTTGTCTTCTTATTCCATCCATGAATAGAAACGCTATCAGTCAACGATCCCCCGGACGTTCTGGACAGGCAGAAATGCCTTGCTGCCTTGGCGTCCCTCCGACACGCCAAGTGGTTCCAGGTTTGCATTTTGTTCTTCTATTTGTCTTTCGGTAGAGAATTCCTAAGTTTTAACTTGGCTAATTTTCACCATAAAGTTTCGGTAACATTGAAGAGCACCGTGCTGGACTTAGCACCTGCAGGCGTGCAGTTGCTAAAGGAGCACGCATAGACAAATTTGACACCCCCAAAGGAGGCTTGTGACTGAGTAGGTGGGTAGCTGCTGCTTTGTGCCAAGAGTAACATCATTCTCGTCCACTCGGTGAAATCGCTGCCGACCACACGCTTGATGGTTGTGAACGTTCACCGTTTACCCTTGACAAAGTAGCACCCTGAGACTTGTGTTTTTCATGTTTGCCTTGTGTTCAGGGAGGTGCCTTGGTGTGAAAAGCCTGTGCTTTGTTCCTCTAGGCCAGAGCCAATGGGCTGAAGTCGTGTGTCATTGTCATCCGGGTCCTGAGGGACCTGTGCACCCGCGTTCCCACCTGGGGTCCCCTCAGAGGATGGGTAAGGCACCTTTGTAGCTATAGCCACCCTGGGTCATGTGTGCAGAGACCTCCCAGGTCCCAAGAATATGTTAATGGTAAATGGGCTGGAGTGGCCCTTCAGGGTGTGGCCGATACTCCAGTCATAGCTGCTCATTGAGCAACTACTGTGTGCCACACCCTGGGTGGGGATGAGAACGAGACCAGACTCCCATGGAGGGTGCACAGCTCAACTAGGCAGGGGCCGGCCAGGTGGCACACTTACTGTGGCAGATTGCACTCCGTGAAGAAGGTTTTGTAGCTGTTCTTGGACAGGGGTCAGCAAACTGAGGCCCACAGGCCAATTTTGGCTAGTTGCCTGTTTATCTATAGTTAAGAATGCTTTTTATGTTTTTAAATGGCTACATTTTAAGTATAAGTACCTATGTAACAGCTTCAATTTGCCTCTTGGCCCACACAGCCTGCCCCTTTAACGTCTGGTCCTTGAAGGAGAAGTTGGTTAAGACCCACTCTAGGTGTCCTGTCTTGGACGCGCGCGCACACACACACACACACACGGCCACAGCTCCTCAGCATCAGCCAACTCCCTCCTGGACACTGTAGCTAACTGTCCCTCTTGCCTTTCAGCCCCTCGAGCTTCTCTGTGAGAAGTCCATCGGCACAGCCAACAGACCAATGGGTGCTGGCGAGGCCCTGCGGAGAGTGCTGGAGTGCCTGGCTTCAGGCATCGTGATGCCAGGTTGGGGCCTTGCGCTTTGCAAGTTGCAGGGAAAGGACAGGGATTGAGGCCCTGAGGCCACTTCCTGGCGGGTCCCCTGACCGGGTTAGGGCAGCAGCAGCCCCGTGTCCCCCTAGGGATGAAGCATGTGACTACCCTCTTGCACCATCATATCCAGCCCTGTGCCGGCTCCGCAGCTGTGACTCGGGGCGGATCCGGGGCAGTGGTGACCCACTCCCACGCGAGCTCCACGCTCTGAGATACATGTGGATTATTTCTCTCACAGGCTGGATGCCGAGTGGGTCACCGAGCTCGGTGTGTTTTCCAGAGCTGGGTGTGGATGGGGCGTGGGGGGTAACGCACTTGGTTCCCTCAGCCAGCACAACTCTTCGGAGATGCTAAAAGATAATCCTCTGCATATCTTCCTTGTTTCCTGCCTTCAGATGGTTCTGGCATTTATGACCCTTGTGAAAAAGAAGCCACTGATGCTATTGGGCATCTAGACAGACAGCAACGGGAAGATATCACACAGAGTGCGCAGGTATAGTCATCGCCATTGCCAACGTGAGCCCTTACCCAGTCTGTAATCACTGGCTTCCAGTTCCATTACTGGGTATTCTCAGGGTAGCCACTGGACTCATAGGCTCAGGCTGGGGATTCTGAAGGTCAAGGGATCGTGCCTGATACAGGGTGCCCCAATCTGGGTTGCTTCTTTCCCCTGGCGCCACGCGTGGTTGTCGCCTGCCCCCTCAGCCTGCTCGAGTGCTGTTTTCAGACACCGAGTTCAGCGGGGAGATGTGTTTGCGTGCGGACTGCTCCAGGAGTCCTTCCCTCGCAGGCCCACCACGTGGCTCCGTGTGGCAACCAGTCCCCAGGTTGGGGTCTCCTGTAATCCTCTCGAGGGGGGTGGTCACAGGCTGGCCTTCCCCCACAGCAAGGCTGGGCCCTGGCTGTTGGGGACCCCTCGCTGTTATAGGGGAGACCGTTAGCAACCCGTCAGCTCCCACCCCTTCCAGAAGGCATTAGTGAGAGCACACACGTTGGCTGGGAACGCAGGGCGGCTGAGTCAGGTTCCTCTTCCCCTTCTCCAGCATGCTCTGCGACTTGCTGCGTTTGGCCAGCTCCATAAGGTCCTGGGTATGGACCCCTTGCCTTCGAAGATGCCCAAGAAACCAAAGAATGAAAACCCAGTGGACTACACAGGTAAGCATGGTGCAGTGCCCATGCCCAGGCAGGCGGTATCATCGCACGCTCCCAGTAGAGCCCAGACTGGAGTCTCAGCTGCTTCTGTCCTTGTCTCGTTTCAGTTCAAATACCCCCCAGTACCACCTACGCCATTACGCCCATGAAACGCCCAATGGAGGAAGATGGGGAGGAAAAGTCTCCCAGCAAAAAGAAGAAGAAGATTCAGAAGAAAGGTACCAGCATTCATTCATAGTCCTTGTTTTACCCTCCACGTGGCTTCAATTAAGGTTCACCCCAAAGTGAGTGGGATACCTCCTTTTGCCTTCTCTTTCTCGGACATGATACTTAAGTCCTTTGAAGAATGATTAAATAAATACAGCCTGGGTATGGAACACAAGTGGGGTGGACGTGCCTCAGCTGGTGACCGCAGGCGTGGTGTGCGCCTGGGAGTGGGGCAGGCAAGGCCTCGGCATGTGTGGCCGCCCAGCCCCCTGCCCAGTCCTCCACGTCGTGCATCAGGGCGCAGTCAGGACAGGTCCCCCTGCCCGGTTCAGAATTGACTGACTTTCCAGAGCAACATTGGTGTGTTCTCTCTAGAGGAGAAAGCAGAGCCTCCCCAAGCGATGAATGCCCTGATGAGACTGAACCAGCTCAAGCCGGGGCTGCAGTACAAACTGGTTTCCCAGACCGGTCCAGTTCACGCCCCCATCTTCACCATGTCTGTGGAGGTAGACGGCAACTCATTCGAGGCCTCTGGGCCCTCCAAAAAGACTGCCAAGTTGCACGTGGCCGTTAAGGTGAGCGCGGCCAGCAGCGTCGCACAACAGCAAAACCCTCCCCTCATCTTGCTCCCCTTGAGAGCCATCATCCCCTGTTTAAGCACGAGGCTAAAGGAGGGCACGCGCATACCGGAAGGGTTAGATTCCTGAACGGTAGCCAAGTCGCACGTGGCAAGAATGCCATCATCACTGTGGCTGATGGGCAGAGGGCCCCCAAGTGTGGCTGGGCATCGAGGTGGTCTTGGGAGCTATAGGAAAGCTCCTCCAGTTGCCTGGACGCCACCCTAGGAACTTCTGATTCAGGATCCCGGGTGTGGGAGGGGTTCTGCGTGGTTGAGCCCTCCCTCACTGGGGGCCTGGGTCTCCCTCCTGCAGGTGTTACAGGACATGGGCTTGCCCACGGGTGCCGAAGGCAGAGACTCCAGCAAGGGGGAAGACTCAGCTGAGGAGACAGAGGCGAAGCCAGCCGTGGTGGCCCCTCCACCTGTGGTGGAAGCTGTCTCGACCCCCAGCGCTGCCTTTCCCTCAGATCCCACTGCCGAGGTGAGCACGGGGTGGGTGCTGGGGTGCCCGGCAGGAAGGAGCAGGCAGCCCTGGGTCCCGTGAACCAGGACAGCTACTGGTCCTTGTTCTCTTACCCCAAGAGAGTGTACCTTCCAGTCCAGGAGCCTGTGGAGGGAGTTGGGTGTGAGCTGTTGATCCATGACCAAGAGGCCCTTGCTGGTGTTGACCCAGCATCTGGGGTGGCCTGCAGTCGAGGATGTGCCCTTTCCCCAGGAGATGGGGTGTGGGTGGAGGTGGTCCCATTGCTGGGAAGGCCACAGATGATTTCTGGAGACAGGAGTGGCGAGGGGGATGGAGCGGAGGGCCTCAGCCATGACATAGGGGCGGCTGCCCTCCTCCACGTGCTAGAAAGCCCTTAGCTGAGTTTGTTGGTTTTCTTTTCTGTTTTCCCTGAGAACGTAAAACAGCAGGGGCCGATCCTGACCAAGCATGGCAAGAACCCTGTTATGGAACTTAATGAGAAGAGGCGTGGCCTCAAGTATGAGCTCATCTCAGAGACAGGGGGCAGCCATGACAAGCGCTTCGTCATGGAGGTGAGTGGTCCTGGGGGCGGATCCTGTGGGGGGCCTGGAGTCTTTGGAGACTCCCCCCCGCCCCAAGGGGGGTGTTGGGTCACCCCAGACACGCATGTGTTCTTCCCAGGTCGAGGTGGATGGACAGAAGTTTCAAGGCGCTGGCTCAAACAAAAAGGTGGCCAAAGCATATGCCGCCCTTGCTGCGCTAGAAAAACTGTTCCCCGATGCCCCTCTAGCCCTTGAGGCCAACAAGAAGAAGAGAGCCCCCGTGCCTGTGAGAGGTGGACCGAAATTTGCTGCTAAGGTGAGCGGTCACCCCGGAACTCTCTGACCTTGGCGTGTATTCTCTGGTGATTTGAGTGGGAGGCGAATGTAACCCGTCTGTCTTCTTTCCCGTCCAGCCACATAACCCTGGGTTCGGCATGGGGGGTCCCATGCACAACGAAGTGCCCCCGCCCCCCAATCTCCGAGGACGGGGAAGAGGAGGGAACATCCGAGGTCGAGGGAGAGGGAGAGGCTTTGGTGGCGCCAACCATGGAGGCTACATGAATGCTGGTGAGGACCATTGTCCTGTGCTGTCCCAGTGGGCTCGGCCTGCTCCCTGGAGTGGGTGGGACCCCTGGGGCCAACTGAGATGCCGGAAGAGGCAGGGGGCCGGCAGACCCACCTCCTGCCCTGGTGACCCTGTCTGTTCCCTTTCAGGCGCCGGGTATGGCAGCTACGGGTATGGAGGCAACTCGGCGACCGCTGGCTACAGTAAGTGTGTGTTTCTCTTTGTCTGAGCTTGGGGAGAAGCTGCAGCTTAGCTCCCGTGGCCTGAGTTAGAGCAGGGTGGCCCAGCAGCAGGAGCCTCCCTGAGGCTTAAGGGCGGCTGGCACCCATTCTCGGTGGTTAGGTCAGGCGGTCCTCCAGCACCCCCCATCCTGCAAAAGTGTAATTTACTCTTTAAATGTTAATGCACACACTTGTGTGCCTTGAAAGTTCATTAAAAGTCAGAATTTTAAATTTCTCTGCTTTAAGCCATGCGAAGCACCAATCCTGTGAATATACTTTTCCTGACAGTGCACAGCTCTTGTCTTGAGAAGGAGCCTTCATTGGGGGGTTACAGGAGCAGAGAAATCTAAAACATGAATTTCAAATGTGGCGCTCTGTGCCATTTTTCAAAAGAATTCTAATTTTTTTTCTCTGCTCTGTCTCCCCCTTTTGTAGGTGACTTTTTCACAGACTGCTACGGCTATCATGATTTTGGGTCTTCCTAGAGCATCTAAAAGTATTGCACACAAAATCAACTTTTTACTCCAATTTTCTCGAACTCCAAAACCCAAAGTGTCCGTGCTGTGCCCTGTGCTTCACTGGGTTTCTCAACCGTGGCTTGTCACCGCAGCTTGTCTGAAACTCTTAGCCTGCAGAATTTAAGACAATGGCAGTTTTTATCGTGATTTGCCTTTGAACTTGGTCATATTGAAGTTCACAATAAGTGGAAAACAATTTTCAGAGAATGTGTTTTTTGTGCAGAATTGCACAGAATTCTAGAGCCAGCGTTGGTCAGCATCAAGGCAAAAGCCCACCTTTGCTTTTTATGGAAAGCATTACTTTATTTAAGAGACAGATAATAATGCATTTTAATCTACCTTTGTCTTAATTTACAGCAGGTTTTGTATGAATTTTTAACCTTTTAACAAATTCCCAAATCTGGTTGATGCCTTTGACAGTAACGATTTCACCACATCTGAATCCAGAGCAACTGGCCTTTTTTCTGTTGTTTTTTTCATAAGCATGTGAAACGTTGGGAACGTTGGGGAATTGTATATTGTGCTAAGTTAACCTCTTCCACCTTTTGTAAATGCTCTGGTGGGTTCTTGTTCCGGGATGCAATGTTCTGTGGCTGCTTTAGCTAGAGGTGAACTCTCAAAGGTATCAAAACTGTGCTTCCACTATTAGTGCAAGAAACAGACAGGCTTTAAGGAAGAGAGAACGTGGAATTTTGCAAGTCGTAATCACACCTGCAAATGCATGGGATTCTAGAGGTTTTTTTTCCATTTTTCTTTTCTTTTCTTTTCTTTTCTTTTTTTTTTTTTTTTTTTAATGGGGCTTTAAAAATAAGCAGGAAGAGCTTAATACATAGCACAATTCTCCAGTGAAGAGCCAAGCCTCAGCAGGGCCTGTGCTGCTGGGCGCACATCCACGGCAGATTCCAGAAGGCCCGGAAAGCTTCTGCCCTCTCACCTTAGGGTGCAGGCATGAGCTTGTGTGGCTTCTCCCTTGTGCGCAGAGGCACACAGAGGCGTTTTGGCTCTTGAATGAGACCCCCGTCTCTTGGCGGGAGTCCTTCTTGGGAATGAGTGTAGTTTTGGCTCTGGTCAGCAGGTTTTTTTGCAGCAAGGCCTGCCTCTGCGTTGACTTGCAAAATTTTGCGTTTATTCAGTCAGGCAAAAAATTGGTCAAAACGGTTATTACATAATTTGTTCCCAGGGGTTTGAAACATTCAGTGAAACTTTTTAAAACTTTGATTGCATGATGTATTTTTTTTTCCTAGAAAGTTATTGTTTGAGAATAATGTCTTTTTATACCAGGAAATAGTTATCCTGAAATGACGTTGAAAATTTCCCCTCCCCTTTATTATTATTATTATTTTTTTTTAATCAATACATGTTAAAGTAACAAGCCCTCAGTCCTTGGCGTCTTCATTCATTCCCACACTGGCGGAGGGGCGAGGAGGCGCTCAGTGCTGGTCGTGGGCAGCCGAGGTGGTGGGCTTCCGAGAGGGGGTCTGCAGGGGACCTCCTGTCCTCCAGCCTCCTTGAGAAGCCTTCGCGCGTTTACTTTCTTGCATTGTGGGACACGTCCTTCTTGGTGTTTTTGGCTTTGGGTGGTGTGGGTGGAAGGGTCTAGAGAAAATTAACTGATGTTGCAGATCAGTTCTATCCAAATTATTGTTCAAACCACCCAAGACACAGCGGTGTGGGGCGTACATCTGCAGCGGGTGGAAGGAATTAACCCCATTCAAAAGGCAGGAGATCCTTGGTGCTAAATACGGGAAGGAAGGGCAGGGTGTGTGGGGAGCGTCCTCTCCCCGTCCTCCCACCCTGGGCATAGTGGCCACACCAGGCACCAGCCCCGGCTGTCTATGGCAGGGGCAGCGGCCAGCCAGCACAGGTGCGCCCAGGCCCGCCTGCTCCAGGAGCCCAAGAGTTCTGCAGCCCTTGTGTGAATGCTAGGGATTGCCCGGCTGGGTCGGAGAGCCACCCACGTGACCTGTTCTCTTCCTGTCGCCTCACCTTAGCTGACCCATGCCCCGTCAGTCCATCTGAGTGGTGGGGCTGTGTTAACAAACCTGTCTTCCGGGGTCTGTACCTAGTTACCAGAGGGGGGACCCACCGTGACATTCTCCGCTCCAGGGCCTGAGAATGTGGCGGCCTGGCTGCACGCTTGTCAGTCCTGCCCCTGGGTCCTGCCTGCGCCCGGCAGCTGTGCTGGGAGTAAGGAGGGGCCCTCTGCGGGGGGCCACCCAAGGCAGTAGCTTGAGGCCCCACCTGGGTGTTCTGAACCCAGCCGTAGTGTTTCATTCCGCCCACGAGGCTGTGGCAGTCACACCAGGGAGATGCCCTAGGTCATTGGGCTAAGTCTCCATTCGGTCCTCCCAGACCCAGGTTGGACCAGCTGGTCTTCCAGGAACGACTCTGGCTTTTAGGGGCATCGTTACAGAGCAGCTCCAGGGGTCACCCAGGCCTGGGACTACAGAGCCTCTTCCCAGCACAGCAGGGGGGAGGTGGCGGTGGCCAGCTGCTTCTTTGGGGCTTTGCTTTTCCTCTCACCGTTGGGGACATCTGGGTAGCAGTCAGCTAGTCGTGAATGTCATCCCGCGCTTGGAGCCCATCTCATTGTAATGTTGACATCCGCTGCGAAGGCTGCTGCTGGCCTGCTGTCGTGCCGCTGCTTGGGCAGAGAGCCATTGTTGTCGTCAGCTGATGGGTGAGTGGGGCTGAAGGCTGGGCCAGCCCATACCAGGCTGCTTCAAGGACCGGAGCCGCTGCTCCTCGCTCTCCTGCCTCTTTCCGTCTCCCCGGGCCTGGCCAGTGGGCTTGTGGGTCAGCCTTCAGGGCCCACAGCTGTGACCTTCCCTCTCCTTCCCCTCCCCCGTCTCCCGATCCTCCAGCTGACCCGCTGCCTTCCTGTTTAGGTCAGTTCTACAGCAACGGAGGGCATTCTGGGAATGCCGGTGGTGGTGGCGGCGGCGGGGGCGGTGGTGGCTCTTCTGGCTACGGTTCCTACTACCAAGGTGACAACTACAACTCACCAGTGCCCCCGAAACACGCCGGGAAGAAGCAGCCGCACGGGGGCCAGCAGAAGCCCTCCTACGGCTCGGGCTACCAGTCCCACCAAGGCCAGCAGCAGTCCTACAACCAGAGCCAGTACAGCAACTACGGCCCCCCACAGGGCAAGCAGAAAGGCTATAATCATGGACAAGGCAACTACTCCTCCTACTCAAACTCCTACAGCTCCCCCGGAGGCGGGGGCGGATCAGACTACAGCTACGAGAGCAAATTCAGTGAGTTGGCTTCCAGAGCCGCCAGGGGTCCAGGCCAGCAGCACATCCCAAGGAGTGGTGGAAGCTCAGCCCTGCCCTGCCCCAACCTGACCTCTGGTGGAGGGACTGGAAGGAAGCCGGGTGGTGCTGGCTGCAGGGCGGGCGTTAGGGAAATCCTGAAAGCAGGGTCCCCTGGCCCAGGTCTTTGCTGGTCCCTCCCTGTTGCCTTCTCCGAGGTCCCGGAGGCTGTGGGCTGAGGCTGGGGCCCAAGGGTGGATAGAGCCTGTGAGTCTGGGCCAGCTGCTGCAAGGTCATCTCCAGGGATGGGCTCTGGAGACAGCCCCCAACACATCCTGAGTTAACTTCCCCGTCTGCCGGTCCTTCCACCTCGTGCACAGACCCAGCAGGCCTGGGCAAGCGTGGGTGTGAACTCGTGCACAGCAGGATAGCGGGCAGCTGCGTGCCGGGGACCTTAAAGAAGCTGTGCTGCCTGTGCGTGGGCCTGGCGGTGGGCCTCGGGTACCTGGCTGGGTGGGAGAGGGGAGGAGGCCGCTGGGGACCCTGGGTTGGAGGAGCAGGCGGGAAGGCAGGATGGACCTGGGCTTCAGAACATGATGACATTACAGGGCTCCAGTGGCCCCTGGCGCTTCGTGGTTGGACCGAGTGTGCCAAATTTCATCAGTCAAGATGGGGATCGGGCAAGGCCCAGGCGTCAGCTGAGCTCCTGCCACTGCCAAGGCCGCGCACAAGGAACCTAGATCACCCCAGCCGCAGTCTTGGCCACAGCCCCTTAACTGTGTTATCTTCTCTCCCCCAGACTACAGTGGTAGTGGAGGCCGAAGCGGCGGGAACAGCTACGGCTCAGGCGGGTCGTCCTACAATCCAGGGTCACACGGGGGCTACGGCGGAGGTTCTGGGGGCGGCTCCTCATACCAAGGCAAACAAGGTGGGCCTGGGGCAGCAGGCAGCACAGCCTGGGGCCCCTTAAACTCAGAGCCAGCGGGGACCACACGGATTCCATGAGGAGGGGGCATGGCCTGGCCTGGGCAGATAGCAGCACAGGTAGGGGGGCCCCGGTGGCAGCTGCAGCTTGGCTTCCATGTGGGGTAAGAACGAGGAGTGGGAGACACGGGCACACCAGGACCCTGTGAGAGCACGGGCTTAGGCACACCTCCAGCGTCGGGTTCTTCTCGAGCCAGGCGTTCAGAAATTGCCCTATTCTTTTTTTTTTTTTTTTTTTCCTTTCCTTTTTGCGGTACGCAGGCCTCTCACTGCTGTGGCCTCTCCCGCTGCGGAGCAACAGGCTCCGGACGCGCAGGCCCAGCAGCCATGGCTCAGGGGCCTAGCCGCTCCGCGGCATGTGGGATCCTCCCGGACCGGGGCACGGACCCGTGTCCCCTGCATCGGCAGGCGGACTCTCAACCACTGCGCCGCCAGGGAAGCCCTGCCCTACCATTAAATGTTGGCGCCAACGGGAAAGAATACGGAGGACAGTGAGGGCCAAACAGAGCCTGACGTGGAGCTCTGGTTTGGGGTGGTGAGCTCAGCCTGTGCCCAGGCAGCCCCCGGTTACAGCTCCCACTGCCCATGCGTCGTGGCTGGGCAGCTCCCCGCCCCTCATAAACGCAGGGCTGATGGTCCCACCTCAGGGTTTTTGGGACAGCTAGGCCCAGTGACCCTGGAAAGGCACTTAGCAGAACAAGGTGGAGATTCCATGGCTGCCCTGCTGCGATCTCTCCGGCAGACACAGTTCTGGTGTTGGCTGACGTCCTGCTCTCTGACCGCGGGGCAGGCCTGTGCCTCTCACCTCTAACCCTCCCCCCTCTCTCCCTTAGGAGGCTACTCATCACAGTCGAACTACAACTCCCCGGGGTCCAGCCAGAATTACAGCGGCCCTCCCAGCTCCTACCAGTCGTCACAGGGGGGCTACGGCAGAAACGCAGATCACAGCATGAACTACCAGTACAGATAAAGCCCCCAAGGGGTGAAGATTTGTACCTTCTGCACTTACTCCCCCGTTGTAAGATTCAGTTTTATGCATCACAGTTAACATGTCAACCGGCCTCTCCAGGCCCCTTCCGCCCTACCCTGTCCACGTTGCTGTGTTGTGAGGTGCAGCTGGTCACTCCTGTGACCCGTCCTGTGACCCATATTTAGCTGTGTTTGGGACTCCGTGTCTTCAGTGGTTTGTTAGTTGCCATTACAACTTTGTCTGAGTAGAGTTTTTTTGAGTTCTTGCAATTAAGTATCCCTCTGTCTATTTACAATTGGTGTTAGTGTTAACTCAGTTTGTCTTTAAATAGTAACGGAAGGGATACTTCATCTGTTAATGCTTTTGTGAAGTGAGTTAAACGAGCTTTCTGTATTTTAATGCTTTAGTGTTTCAGTTTTATAAGTGAAGATTTTATTTTAAAAACCAGTGGGAAAGAGTGGGGTTTTTTTTTGTATGTCTGGTTCATTCAGGCAGTACATCTGAATTGAGCTGAATGTAGACGAATAAAGAAAAACAAAACTCTGTGCCTGTCGTAGGCCTGGGTGTCTGGGCCACCAGCAGCAAGATGGGCAGGTTCCTCCACTCTGTTCCCAGCACGGGAAGGCAGGGTGTGGGGGGCAGGGCAGTCCCTGGTCACCAGAGAACGGCCAAGGCCAGCAACCCAGTTTGCTGGCAGCTTGTAGAACCGGTGTCCCAGCGGCACCATAGTCCCAGCTCTCCCGTTGGGCTGCAGAGTGACTTCCGGAGACCCACCCTGCTGTAGGGGGTTTGCTCACACAGTTGGGCATGCTTTGTTTTCTCCATGAATTCTCATATGGTTTTAAGTGCAATTTCAAGTCACCACGGAGTAAAACATCCTTGTAGGTTGGGTACGTGTAACCTAAAAAAGCCCAGTTGAATCTGGCTGAAAGGTGCCAAGATCTAGGGAACCCAGCCACAGAACCATCCATGCCAGGATGGCGCTTTGTGTCTGCAGCAGCCACGGCCTTTCCCCTGGTGCCGCCCCGCCTCGAGTGTGTTCCACAGAGTGCACTGTTGGCGTGCTTCACGATCCTGGGTAATTTTGCAGTGGTTGGGAGACATCTGTCACCTAGTGGGTAGAGGCCAGGGATGCTGCTGACCATTCTACACTTGAATGTCAGCAGTGCGC